TCTTGGTATTCTTGGTCACACTATAGAATGTGTCAGGTTTGAATATTAATTATACAAAGTGTCCCAGAACAACAGACAAGGTAACATTTATAGGTACACAAATACACGTTGAGTGGTGAGGGCGATGAAGAACAACTTTTTTCCCAGATTTTCCGCTCTGGAGTTTTACTATAGTGAATGCTGTGCATGAAAAATATGTTTCTATTCGATGAAAATTAAGTTATTGACCACAATGACCATGTTTATGAACTACTTCAACAAAATGATAATGTTGTTGGCCATTTTAAAATTAAAATTTTTTTCCTCGAATAAACTTTTGGTTGAATTGAAATTTGAGAATGACCAGCTTTCAAATCATATGATGAAGATCTTGCGAATTGGTGAACATGATTATTATGGTCAGGAACTGAGGTAGGAATGAGCAAAACATGACAATTCCAACATCATAAACAATTGAAAATTTGCGGAAAAAAAATACTAAAAAGACCTTTATGATAGAAATTTTGTTATAGCAGGTGGGTCATCCTTCGATCTACATTCTCCCTAGGTCTGACGTGGTCTTCACGGGACACCCTGTATATTATACCTTGGTAGTGAGTAATATTATTTCCACGGAACAATTAACCCTCGGCTGAAGCCTCGGGACATAATCTCGGTCTCTGGGTAATAATCGTATTATTTACCACCTTGGTGTATAAATAAATTTCATTGTAGATTGTAGATAGGCGTATAGGAGACCTTCCGAATACTGCGACCTGAAAGATCTATTGTGATTACCCTCATTCAGATTCGGTCCTTATGAAGCCTAGAATTTTCCTGACGGTTGAATTTTCCACCTCAGCAGGGGTGAGATGGACCTGTTCTAGGTGGTTCAGCCTTTGGCGGACTAATACTTCACATAAACAAAGAATATTTTCCGCGGTTTTGATCGCATTGTTACAAAAGCGGCAAGTGTCAGTCTTCGCTAGGCCCATCTTCTTGAGGTGGTACCTCAGAGGGCCGTGTCCTGTGAGAAAGCCTGTGATAAGCTATGGTTGATGAACCTTTTCGCTTGTCGTTGACCTGAAGTTGCTCTCCAGTAGAAGGATTTTTCAATTTCTTCCCATTTTCTGAGTTCTTCCTTCAGGTGACATTTTCTTATCCCACAAAAAGGCTCAGGATCAGAAAGTGCAGATTCTGCACCTTTTTTTTGCAAGGCGATCAGCTGCCTCATTTCCTTTGATTCCTTCATGCCCTGGAACCCACATAAGTGTGACTTTGTTGTCCTTTCCCAGTTGCATGAGTGTTCCAAAGCAGTCTCATGTTATATTTGATGTGAAAGGAAATAGGTTCCCATACTTACACATAAGATAGTTTGATTGGAACAAGATCGCAGACACAAGTCAGTCTTATTAATTGTGTCACCTCGATGTGAACAAGGTTTGATTGTGGAAGAGCAATGATTGGCTAGAATCGAACATAATATCACCAAACTGTCAGATTTTGACATGGCAATAGAATGATGATACCACAAGTCATACCCCCTATCTTGCCGGAAATATTCGGTTGGTTGGTCATATGTTGGTGTCGGTTTCTGTATGGAAAGTCCGATAATTTCAAGTATACAAAAAATATCTAAATAACGTGAAAATGAGCCATTATGATGGGTTCTAAAATACCATGATCACATATATGACACATGTTCAATGGACATTTAAAGGTGGTTTCTCACATCCTCTTTTTTCTTCATTAAAATAATATTGATTATGAAATATCGGTTGGATTCATTCCGAATGGAAAACTGAGGGGTGAAATATGAATACCTCCGAAAATACTGGGAACTCTCTAAATCACAGGCATCCTCCCTTTTTCGTTTTGCATTCTTCTTGATAACATTCTTGTGGTTAATTAATTATACGATAGGCCTTTTTAATTACCGTGCGAACAAGCGACCGATCACGATCAATCGATCAAGTATTTTTTGTGCCGGAATTGGGGAGATAGATAGAGAAACGAGAAGTGAAAGACGGGACAACGTCGTTTTTATCGAGTTTGAGCTCCTTCGTTACTCACTGTGTTGACGATTCAACGTTCATGTTCGAGTTTTTGGATGTTCTTCAAAAAGTCTTATTTTTTCAAATTAATCATTCTCGGTTCCTAAAGAGTCCAATCACATCGTGAAACAGGAACAATTTCTAGATATATGGGCATATAGTGTGAGTCAGGGACCACGAAGTAAATGAATAAATCGAATTCAAATGACCTGTTCTTACTCCCAACGAGTAGTCCTAATCTTTTGCTTAACACTCTTACACTCGTCTGAAGTTGTTCAAGCTGATAGTCTTATCTTGAAAAATCTCCCAAATGACTTCGACATCAAGTTAGTTTTATAACATCAATAGAATATTACTGTAACATAACTATAATGTACTATAACATCAATAGAATATTGATTAATAGTTATTTATGTATTAAGGGAATTATGAGGGCCATAATTACCGATGGCAAAGTTTGCGTCCCGAGGGCCTCTGGCCCGAGGGACAGCAATTGCCAGAGGTTATTAAGGCTCTATAATTCCCGTGATACATGGATAATTTAATTTCTGACTGATTTCATTCATTAAATACCTTCCCGAATGGAAGTTAGACATGTTTTTCCGTATAGTTTCAATGTCATCAGAACGTCAGATGATGATCTTGACTACCGCGAATAGGAGATTCCTTATTGCTACGTTATTGCGTGGTTGTTGCTATGCATTTTTTATTTAATTTTAGCTAGAGGAAATTATCGCATCTATAACATCCCAAGGGAGTTATGACCCTCATTATAGATATCGTAACTATGACGATATAAGCTTATAATGTCACTGTCAGAAATAATAGTAGATTATACCACGAGTCAATAATGATAGCTATTATTCTCGAGGATTTTTTACGAACCGAGCCGCGTTAGCGGCGAGGGAGTAACATTCCGAGAGAATAATAGCCATTATTGCGAGTAGTATACTCTACTTTATTTGCGACTAATATATATACTTGTGGTTTTTGAAGTATAATGCCATATATTAATCCCGCAGGGAATAATGGCGAGGGATTAATAGTCTTTATTCCCTGCGGGATTAATATATGGCATTATACCCCAAAAACCACAAGTATAATATATTAGTCGTGAATAAAGTTATTTATCTTCAGGATGTTTCACTTTCCCATTCATAAGAAGCAGTACATTCCATCTGAATTCATTTATGAATGTGTTATAATGGCTCATATTCAATTTCTGGAATCCTCATTTGGTATATTATGCTCTTTTCATTTGATATGTTCGACAATGCAGTGTTGCCGCTTCTACTAGAAAGTAGTAGCAACATTGAAATTTCGAAACGGACCCCTCTGTATTTTATCGCATTTTCAGATTCTCCATGAAGAGCTGATTTCATCGATGTATCATACTTGGAATCTATCTGAAATGATAACAGAGATATAGGGTGTTCAAAATCGACATTTTTCACCGTTCAGATTTTTTTGTGTCGAAAATATTCATTATCGGTCAAAACGGCTCACATGTCCCTAGATCATTTTCTGTTTCAATATTCACTCATATTTAATCAGAACAGATACAGGGTGGTTCAAGATTCAGAATTCTGATCACATGCATATTTTCATGGATTTCTCCAGACTGATTCTCGATATAGAGATAGTGTAAGCACGTCGTGACATACCCTGTATGTTTCGTACCGTTTGTTGTATTTTCTCCGATCAAGAAATACTTTCTTCTGATGTTCGTGCTTCCCGTTCGAAACTGTATCTTTTGAGAATTTACCATCTCCGATAAATGCGTGATACAAAACGTAGTCTTGATTGATATGACCAGAGTATACTTCTCTGAATTCAAATTTTGAATCGATAGAATATAGATATTGAATTGCTGCTTATACTTGGTTTGTGAGGTCTGAAACGTTTCGGGAAGTTTAGGAAGTTAGATGAAGTTTGGGAAGTTCGAGGAAGTTTAGAAAGTTCGGGAAAGTTTGGGAAGTTCGAGGAAGTTTGGGTAGTTCAGGAAAGTTTGAGGAAGTTCATGGAAGTTTGAGGAAGTTCGAGGAAGTTTGAGGAAGTTCGAAGAAGTTTCGGAAGTTTTGACCCATGGGGAGTTTGATGTACAATTTTTTTCATCGTGATTTACCCCTCGAATAATATATATCTCTATTATAAGTATTATAGGAAACTTCAATCATCCATGGTGAGTGATGTAAGCTTTTAAAATATTTATTGAACGAAACTGCAGCAGTATTTTCATCATTTGTAGTCGACTTTTCTCTATTTCTTATAGGTTTGACGAAGCTGCCATATTCTCTCAAGTTTTTACATAAACTTGGAAAGGTTTGTGCATCGGGGATTCCTCTATGCGGATAACGCTGTGCGTAAACTCTTTTTGCTTCTCTACAATTTGACCTGCATTCTCCAAACACCAGTAACATTGAACCATTCTCATATAACTATTATTAGTTTTGTTTGAATCGAACAAATCAGAATATTTCTTATTACAAAATGTGACAATATTTCTGACACAGTACTGACAACATCTGTCGCTTGTAATTGCACTAAAAACAATCGCGATAACAATGATTGCCATAGTAACTAATATTCATGGCATTCTTGTAGAAATCATCCGAAATCGCATTTTTTGTCAATCAAGAAATATTTACTATAAACTGGTATAACTCAGAAATGAGTACGATGAATTAGTTCCGGTAAATGACAAAAAAGTTTATAAATAACATGTACTTTTGCGTGTGTGTAATTTCGAAGTCACTGCAATCGGAATTTTCTACGCGTCACGACGCTCAGCTCCTAGTAGGCGTTGAATTTTTTCTACTTTGAGAAAAATCTACTTGACCCCCTCCATTGACTACTTTTCACAGGAATCAAATATTCCCATTCGTTTTCGAGATATTGGCGTGCGGAGTTTCAAGTGAAAAACCCTGTATATCCTAGAAAGATCGAGTGGACGAAACCCGAACTCACCCTCTCCAAGCACAAATTGTCGCACGTCTCCTTCATCTTCGTCAGCTGCTTCTGCAAACTCCTGTACTCCTCGAGGAACCTCTCGAGCTGCGCCGCGTGGTGATCGTAGGAGTTGGCGTTGGGAGTTGTGCTCGTCGCGGGGGGCGAAAGGGCAGACTCCCTTCGATTGGGGGGAAAGAAGCGGCTCTCCAGGGCGGTGACGTCGAGAAGAGGGGTGGCGTTCGTTTCGTGGGGGGACTGCAATCAGAATTAGCGTGTAGGATATAGTATCAAAGACTACAGAAGAAAACTATTAGATGAGTCACTCGTTCATTTACCGAAAGTAACAAACGCAACGTTGGGTCATACCTCAACAACTTCTCATGATCTACTAAGCACAGATTCTAGGAACAAAAATGGTGAAAAAAGTCATTTAAACATTTGTGAGGTTTGCTGGGCTGTGTGCACGTGTATATATATACCAAAGAGAGGATGTGTTGTATTTCGTGCGACATAATTTATTCTTTATGATGCTACGAATATAAATTTGAATAAATCATCTTGCACGAAATAGAACACTTCCCTTCTTTGGTATATGACCATTGGTCCAAAAAGAGCTCCCTGAAGGATCATGGCCATCTAAAAGGGGGCCCAAGTTGATGGTTTCATGTGAATATTCTTGAAACCCAACTTCTATTGCCCGATTTGGAGATGTCAATAATTTTCCGAAATTTAGATCAGAGGCGTGGGAAATAGATCTAGGGGCACAATTTTCCACGTGGAAATATCAACATTTTCACACCTGTTCAATTTTGTTAGCGTTGACTATTTTTGAGATGAATCGATTTCAAAAGTCTGCTACAGGATGAAAATAGTGCATTTTGCCTAATAGGGAACCGAATAGGTACTCCTAATTGGGAAATAGTACTATTATTATCACGCAGCAGGATTTGGAAATCGATTTATCTCGAAAATAGTATGTGCTATCGACACTGGAGAAGTGTACCATTTTCAAGCAAGGATGATGAATTCTCCATATTTTCTGGTCAAACTTCTAAAAATTGCATAAACGAAGAAGTTGGAGAAAAAGTATCATCCTAACCTAATACCTACGCCCCTGATGAAAATTTCGGAAAATTCTCAACATTTTCAAATTGAGCATAAAAACTTGTGGGTGTATGTTTTTTTTTATCGCTTGGTCCGCACTAAAGGTTATCCCTATAATGTTCGAGACACATCGTGCGTACCTAGGGATGATAAGGGGAGGAGGTGGATGTTGGGATTTTTTTTCTTATTTTTGTCGATTTTTAGTCCTCGGAAATACTTCCTCAGGCAATGAATTCCAGACATTTCGTCATTTCATCACAGATGGTTTCGAAACTTTTTACATCAAACCATCATCTCGGGTTCTACTTCAGTTGGCTATAACCCTCAGGGAAATCTGTAGTTGAAATTTTTCTATGTTATTTCGGGACACCCTCTATATCGAATTCAGCACCGCTGATTCTCTTTGATTCCATCCAGAGAAAAGCCAGTCGCCTGGTGAGCGATGTCACACTCACTAATCCTATGACCACACTAGAAAACAATGGAAAAGTCGACGACCTTTCAATTTTCCGGGAAATGTTCCTCAAAAATCATTCCATCCCTAGACCAGTGAGAGGAAATCGACAGGCCCAGTCAGCACCTTATTTCGTTGTCAACCTTGAAATATGTCGAACAAAATTTCACCACAGCTCATTCGTCTATAAAAAGGCAAAGCTTTGGAATTCTTTGCCACTGGATATATTCCGTAGAACTTTTTATAACCTCCAGAAGTTCAAAAGAATTCTAACACCTACCTCCTCTCCCTACATACCTTATATATAGGTACGCACGATGTTCTGCGAATTTCATAGGAATTTCCTTCCCTGCGCTCCCAGTGAACCATCTTCTAAAATTCAGTATTCTTTGATAGTTTTCAGGGTGATCCATGAGGAACAAAGGATGGTGCCCAAAGGTAGACGCAAGTTGATTCAATGTTCATTCAACGATGAATAGGTAAAAAATTCGTGCCTAGCTACTGATTTTCAAACATCTAGGAGGATGTACTTATCTGAAATTATTTCCGATAATCAATTTATATTCATTGTGTGATCATCAACCGATTCTTAGAAGAATGTGTTGATATGACCAAAGTTTACAGAATTATATCACATTCCATTCACAGGTGATGAAAAAGTGAGAGGTCCGGGTGGTTTTTAACTGGTTATTCCTAGGTTTCAATCAAAAATTGGTATTGTTCTTCAAGTAATCGTTTGAAATTGGATAATGTGAGAACGTTTAATACTGTCTGTTTTTTCAGCTAATTTGTTCCAACAATCAAAGTTTTATACTATACTTTCGCAATCTAAATATCCAATAAACAATATGAAAACAGTAGATACTGATATTCGAAATCGGTATTATCTTCTTCAGATATACGGGGTTTTTGAAAACTCAGTATCAATATTCCAGGTGCTTATTTTCCAAATCAAAATAATACTTTTTTTCACATGTGTCTGCAAACGCTTCGTTACCGATTCACAGAGCATTACAATTTCATGATTTTTATCATTTTTCTTTTTAGCCCTTTTAGAATTCGAGATATCCAGATGGAATTGGAAACATAGGTTACGTTTCAGGGTTCATATTATGAAGCATGTCGAGTGATTGTGGAAATCTACAGGGAGATGTTATTTCATGGGTCAAGCCCTTTTTCGATTCACAAACTTTCTTGTGGTACGCCACTCGTGAATATTTGATTATGGAATGTTTTTTTTTACGTTTGTAATTATAACGCTAATGCCACCTTTATCGGGAGAAGTTATAAAATGTCACTTTTCATGAATTACTTTTTTCTTGAGAGAAAGAAGTTAGAAGAGACAGAAGAGGATATTTTTTCTCCGGATATATATCACATAATATATACAGGGTGATTCACGATGGATGGCACATTTGACGTTTCTGGAGAACGCAACTCTGGATTATTCCGAAAAGTTGGTGCCTTGGATGATCATTCGTGTTCTATCGACCTAAAATATCCTCAACGATGCGACGTTGCCGCTTATAGTGAAAAGTAGCAACAACTTTGATTTTTCCAATGGAACACCCTGTATATCATTCCATTTCAATATTCCTTCTGAAGAGCTGAGTCCATCGATCTATCCAATCGGGATCTAGCGAGAACGATAACAAAGATATAGGGTGTGAAGATTCGAATTTTCCATATTTAAGAATATTGATTCGACCTTCCTGTCAGAGAAGTATTATAATACACGCAACGCGGCGGAAGACAACACAACCTGGAGCTGAAATCAAATACTTTTTTCCCTCATATAAAAAATAATGAGTATTTTTGTAACTCTCTAGATCTTATGATTTTTTCAACGAATGGGAGGAAACAATTATCACAATTGAAGCAAAAAACGCTACATATTTGGTTTTCCATCTTGATAACAATATTCCAAACATAATCTATAGTATAATAGATACCGAACGAACCTTGACTTTTTATAAAAAGCGTTGAAAAATAAAAGAATCTTGAAATTTCAACGGTAATAGAGCTTATTTTGATCTGGGAAATGAATGCCTGAAATCTTGATACTGAGTTCGTATAAAAAATTATCGATGCATTGAAATATTCACATTCAAAGAATACAAAAGAGAATTGACAATATTTATATTCAAAGAGTTCAAGAGAAAAATAGAAATATTCACATTCAAAGAGTACAAAAGAAAAAAACATGTTTTTTTCGACCTTTAAATGGCTGACAATTTACATCCAAGAAGATTCGAACAAACTAATTGAATTATTGATAGTTGTGATGTTTTTCAAACATTCGTCAGAAAGTTGATAACAGGACGGAAAGTTTTGTAATCTCTGTGGAAAGTTATAAAACTTGCAGAAGTCGTTATCCAAGTTGAATATAATATATTTGTAGATGATACATAATATATGAACCAGTGAATTGATACGGTAGATATATAACTGCAAGGTATTGTATACAGAGTGTCTATAGCGTATCGAATCATTCTCTATCACCCAATTCCAAACGCACCTTTGATACCGAATATACTAAACTTATATTCATGAAAAACACGTTCTCATAGTTACTCAGACTATCATGAAACGTAATGACAATGATTATTCGAAATATATATGTAAAACAACATCGAGCTAATTAGGGACGTACTTGGAAAACACGTTTTGCATGGATAAAACAATTTTGCTATTCAGTGAGAAAAGAATTCCGGCATGACACTGTAATTTTTTTTTGATTTTGTAAATGGTCTGGCTGATCATTCCAGCTACTTCTCTGTTGAACCTTCGAAGTTTTTACACCTTTCGATGTTGGCGAGAACAGATGTTTCTAGCTGAAGTAATACAAACCTTTTCCATCGACAAAAACAACCGTGTCGTTTTTATGGGCCTCGTCCACCCTCTACACTACAACAGTAAATACCGAGCCCCTACAGTTTTGCTTTTGTCTACCATCCATCCACATTTTCCTGCCGCTTTCCTTAATTTTCCCGAGCACTCACGCCCCAACAGCCGTCTACTAACGAACCTTTTCACGGAGTTGGTCCTAAGGGGAAGGAGTAGAGGGGTAATAACCCCTGCTCCCAGAGGATAACGACAAATCATTTTTTTAATATGATTCGTAGAAAAGAATTGTGAAAATAACATTGACTGGAAATTTACAATTGACTCGGCCGTTACTTGATGGAAATCCATAGCAAATGTGAAAATTTCACAAAGAATGAGATTTCCACAAAATTCTCACACGACATGTTTTGCTTACACAGTAGCTTCATCAATTGAAACACAGGTACAATTAAATAAACTAACTTTTGCTTGCCTAATATCACAATAACATCTGTGAGACGTCATAGAAACATCCATATGGGATGATAGAAACATCTCTGGAAAATCCCTATTTTCCTTGGGACATTCTTGGGATGTTGTGGCAACACCCTAGTCAGCATTTGCGATGTCCTATGAACATCCCATCAGAATGTTTGTGGGATGATACGGGAGATGTACCAGAGACATTCAGGGTACTTGATCATGATATGAAACATCTTAAAGAAACTTCTACGATGTATTTCGTTTGATGACAGTAATGGATGACACGGTATGAATAATTTTCAATCTGAAATCCTGAAAATGGACGACCTTTTTCCAGATACAAAGTAACAATCCGAATCCGAAAATATAAGGTCGGTGCGATCCAATAACTAATGGAAAATGATAACAGTTGTTTGAGGCTCATATTTGTTGGCGCTGGGCCGACGGCTGTTAGTAACTCTTAGCAACGTAGTTGTACCGCCATCTATCGACTGGTATAACAAATAAATCCAGCAATAAATATGCTGGAGAGATATATTTCAATTTTTTCGTTTATTACATGGTTCATGAAGTTAAGCAGGTACTTTGGTAATTCTATTGAGGAATATTTAGTATAATTATTTCAATTTGTTATCGATATGAGTACGAATACAGTTTTGATTTCAGTTTTTTACCAACTCTTCAATGTTCCAAATGACACGATTGTTTGAACTATTCAATCATTTCAATCATCATTAGCGAATATGGAACCATGATATTGTTTATGAAAAAATAAAAACAAATGGGATCCAATGAAAACATCTGATGGATGTCCCAAGAGAAACACCTCTGGGATATCGTACCTAAGTCTGAAACATTGGGACATTTGTAGGACCTTAGCGAGATGTACCAGCAAGATCCCTTGTTGTTAGGGCAGTGATGAACTATTGGGGTCTAGTTGATCGTTAGGTGAAATTTATAGTCAGTTGATTTATAATGATTCGAAATTATTGCGTTTTATTCCTCCATTTTTTACGTGTACAATTCCGAAATAATCTTTGAAACAATGGTTTTTTCTAATATATGTTTGGCGTATGTTGAATTCGTTCTCTTTTTAAAAATGTTCATCTCATGTTAATGATAGCGCTGATTGAACGAACGACCTGTCTGACCGATCCGATATATACCTTAAGATCCACAGTTGAGTTTTGATATCCCTGATTTTTCAAATTCGGAAGTTTCATCTTCATTATCGTTGATGAAAACCCTGTAACTGTGAAACGACTAAGCCGATTTTGATAAACTTCGTTAGTTTCACATGTCACTGCTATAGGTCTTCTTTCGAAATTTCGACTGAAATGATTCATTTCCTCCAGAAAATCGAATGCATTGGTATAATGCTCTTGTCGTGAAAGAGTTGCTGAATGATGCCTCAAAAAGCTCGTGGAAACCACATCTCGATATCTTATTCCTAACATTGAATTCAAGCCAAGGAAAATTGTATATGGAAATCTCTTGAACTCTACCTTTTTCTGATTGATATATTCTCCATTATATATCTGTGGCCATGAAATCCAAAAAAGGACTGATTTGAAGAAAAAAAGGTTCCTAATGCGACGTGAATGCTGCCTCTCGGTATGTTATGTATTTCATAACAAATCTGGTTTTTCATATATTTGCTGGTCGCAGGTTGAGTCTGAGACACGATGTTCTTCAACCGCTCCTAGATAAATAAATAAAAATCAAGACAAGTCAAATTTGGTGATCGCGAAGGCGATGAAAACAAACATCTCCTTATAATCCACCGTACAACGCTGTTGAAATACTGCATCATTAAATTCTTGCACTATGATAGCAAAATGTGCTGGGCAACCATCCAACTGTAAAAACAACGTTATTTGAGTGGCCAAGAAGTCGAAGAAGATTTTGCCATTTAAGGCTTGCTAGAAAAATATGGCTCAATATTACTGCATCCCAGTGTGCCATACCACGAATTTCAACCTCAACTTTCTTGGTGCGGAACTTTATGCAACCAATGCGAATTTCTGCAGACCAATAATGATCATTTGCAGATTGACCTTCCGTCACTGTCAACATTCATTAGTCCGAAGAATTTGAAATAAAAAAATCTATATTTTCGCTTATCATTGGTCTGCCGAAAATCCGCATTGTTGTGAAAAGACGTGCCACTGGAGACATGGATGTTTTTGCAGTTGAATGGTTGCCCAGCACATTTTGCTATCATTGTGCAAAAATTTATTGATGCAGTATTCAATCAGCGGTGTATTATGAGGAAATGAAGTTTGTTTCCATGGCTTCTGCGATCACCAGACTTGATTTGTCTTGATTTCTATTTATAGATAACTGAGCGAGTGATTGAACAGAGGTTACAGGGATTCATAGACGACAACGAGCTAATACCAGATAAGCTGTTCGGTTTCAGAACTGGCCACTCAACTGAACTACAAGTCTTGAGACTCATTGAGAACACAATATATCGTGAAAAATGATAGACAAAAGACCCATCTTGCTTTCCTTGACATAGCGAAAGCATTTGGCAAGGTGTGCCATGATGGCATCTTGTACGAAATGATCGATATGGGCTTTCCTGACTATTTGATTCAGTTGATGTGTTTATTTCTGAAAAATCGAACTCTTCAAGTGAAACTTGACGATCAAAGGTCTGGTTTCACGCCCATTGAGGCTAGTGTTCTTCAGGGTGTAGTTTTATCGCCGCTGTTGTACAGTTCATATACTAGCGATTTGCCGAGACCAGTGATGTGCAAGATGTCGCTTTTTGCTGATGATACGGCAGTTCTTGCATATTCGACGGATTTCGAGCAAGCAGCTACAAACCCCCAGAGCGCGCTGAATTCTCTTCAGGAGTACATCCTAATATGGAAGATCAAATTGAATCCTACAAAAACACAATTGGTCGCACTCGGAAGGAAGCGGCGGCCTCCTAGAACCAGAATAGTCCTGGATGGTCATGAGGTCATGAGTTAGAGTGGTCTGCACAAGTTAAATACTTTGGTGTGTGCATTGACAGAAAGCTCACCTGGGCCCAACACATTGAACAGCAAGTTCCTAATGCTAAACGAGTCATCGGAACCCTGAATCCAGTTATAAACAGACGAAGTAAATTGGGGTTGAGACAAAAATACAATATTTATATCATGGCTATCAGGCCAATTTAACTGTATGCCTCAGTAGTCTGGGGCCACACAACTTAATCTCATATCAATAGATTACAATCATTACAAATGAAAATCTCGAGAATGGTGACAGGATCTTCTTGGTATGTTCGGAGTAACCAGATCGCCAGGAATCTGAAACTCCCTTTAATCGTGTCAGTCATTAGAGAACGAAACATCAAAACTTTCCAAAAAGCTGAGGTATATGAGAATCAGCTTCTTTGAAATGCAGTTGATTGAATTGACCGGATTTACAATCTTCAAGTTTTTGATACTTATTCATTCCGTTCGATTTTTTTCAATTCTCAGAATGTATTTCTGAAACTTATTTGGGGCAGAAGGCGGGCTGTTCGCATCAAACTTCAATACCATTCTCATTTTGTTTCATAATAGATATCAGGATGAGAGGGAACCTTCCCTGGTCTGAATCAAATAAAAAAAAAGATTCAATATATATATAGAAGTGGTTTAAGAACATCGTGTTTCAGACTCGACCAGAGAAGATATGAAAAACCGTATTCATGATGAAGGGTATGTTCCGTGAATCAACTCAGTTTTTTCTGTTAGTAGTTTTCCGTTCCGTAAATATAAAATGTTTGGTTGGTTGCTGAAGAGAGGTTATTTACGGAACTCGGTTGCTGAAAAAGTGATAGATACACTGTCACCATAACGACCGAGAATTTTGACTGGTTGATTGGTTGAATAGTTCAATTCAAGCAATCAGCTCGAGTATCTTGAATCTTTCATCAACTCTCAGCATGAGTTTAGTTTAGACTTCACAAGTTCCCCACAAAACCTATAAGAATCATGAAATACTCACCTCTCTAGTAGCATTGTTCTCTTCCCTAGTCAGATTCAAGTAACTGTTCGATATCTTGTTTACCCTGTTTCTGTTCAAATTCGCAGGCATCCCGAAGAGGGGGTACTTCTGGGAGTCCAGCGACTTGGGGGGGCAGCAGGTGCCCTCCTGGCTGCCAAAGTAGCTCTCGCCGCCGCTACTGCCTGAAATCCGTGTAAAAATAGTGTCAAATCAACAACAGGAGGTGGTTCATTGCCAGATGGAAATATGAAAGATATGCGACATGATTCGATTGATGTAAGTGTTGTTTCAATGAAACACCCAATATTATCTGGAAAACCTGCCTTGCTTGCTCCATTTCTGGAAATCTCTTGTTGAGAATTTGTTCATCATAAATAGTTTATTTCTTCATTCAAGAAAACCTCGACTACAAGTGACATAAATTTTAATTTATATTGGTTCAAGAAAATCTCTTCTTTTCTGAAATACCTTCTCTGACGTGTACAGAATACAACAGTGGGAAAAAACTATGGATACCTGCGCTCATTCGACTCATCGACTCTCCAGTTCGGTGACGTAGCCATTCCTATTGCCGCTGAGGCGTACTAAGATGAGAGCACGGTGCACGACCCCGTTGTTTTTCAATAATGAAGTGTTCAAGAACCAAGTGTGCTGTATGATGATATAGGTTATAATGATAGTTTTAATTTCGAACAGGAACGAACTCTGAACTTTGTATATTTTTGTAACATTGCTGTACTGAGGTGCTTTTTCTTCTTATTCCATCGAGACGAGAACTTGCTGAGAATCAATCGTAACTCAAACATACAACTACACATAACTTTCAACAAATGGCCATGTTTGTATAACCTGCCCAACATATTCGTTCAGCAGTGACGATATGATTGACCAGTCGCATTCATTCGATAAACGTCCTAATAGGTATAGATAGGTAATTGTTCATTATTTCTATATGCTTTACTCGATTCCTGATGAGAATGATTGAACCAATAATATCAAATCTGTATATTATTGAGTATGTATACTCTCCTTCCTTCGTGTTTTCACATCGTAGGAGCTTTCATGCCTGCTCTTTTGTCAATCGCAGAATTTTTTGTAGTCAGAAACAATCTGATTGTCTTGAAATTTCATTCATTCTCAACAATGCCTGATGACTGTTTCGAATGAAAATGTTGCTTTTTCTGAAGCGAGTGCTATAGGTATACGGTAAATGATTCCACATTTTTGAAATAATGATTTTTTTCTGTGACGGGAAGAAAGTTTGGCATTTCATCTCTGTTGGCAGGTTATGAAATGTCACTTTTCATATATGATTTTTTTCTCGTGGGAAAAAAGTGAGAACTATTTTTCCGGATATATATCACATATATAAATACACTGTTGATGGCTTTTGTTGTGCTGTAGTTTTGGAAAATGAGACAATAATACCGTCTCCGTGAAAGAACTGTCCTTGTATCTTCCATTCGACTTCGCGGTTACGTATACTAAACAACCACTGAATTCTCAATTTTTTTAAATCAAATCACAGAATCAGACTGACAGAAGTGACATCAGATATTTGATTACTTCAAAAGAAGGATGAAGATGCCTACAACGCAGGTGTCCCTTTTGTTAAAAACTTAAAAAATTTCACGTCGATAATTCTCAGATTTCAAAATAATGTGATATCTTCTCAATATTGATCCGTCCTTTCAGCTGTCACAAAAAAAATAGTGTATCAAACACAGGAAAATATTAGATTTTAGCTCACGGTTTTTTGTCTCCCTCCGCTACGCGTCGGGAGACAAGACAACCTGGAGATCAAATCTACTACTTTTTTCCCTTGTTTAATAAATAACTCTTGTTCTTTTCTCTAGGTTTTCGAGGTTGAACAGTATCTTAACGACCCATATGGGATGGTATAGGTCGGGTTTGATGATCGATCGATTATCGTGATATGGATTCACAATACGAATATAGTAGTAATATCAAACTACCAAAAACGCTGATTATTTGATCAACGATAATCAATATTTCTTGAATTAACGATTCATTCTGAAAATGTAACAAGCATTGCAATATGGTTGGGCGTATAAGTGTCGTGAATAATAATATGTTGTGTTCTCGTTTGTCACTCATTCCGTGAACTGTCAACTTCGACGCGTTCATTTCAATTTGAGATACAAATGTATCGACATGAATTCCGATCGCGAAAGTATTGAGTCAAATGTTGAAGTTGGGGCAAATGAACTCTTTCAAACCCCAGTACCTGTTTTATTTGTGATTAATTCGTTCTTATTTCTTTTTTTGAGTAAAAAACTTTTTTTTTGTTTCATTTCACCGCACAAGTGTCGAAATTTTTCACACTACATATTGGTAGTAGGCAAATAATATGGGAGGAATCCTTTCAGATTGAAGATATACCTACGTAGAGAAGATACAGCGGAAGCAGTGAGATCAATGAACACAGGAAAAGACAAGATGGCATGGTAAGAAGAGAAAATACTGAATAAATCATGCGTTCTGATACGTTTACATATTGCACTCAACAGAAGCAAACTGAGAAAGAGCAAATACAACAAACAACAAATTAATGGTCCCCAAACTATACGTCTAGTAGTAAAAGTCTTTTCTACACGACCAGGCGTAGAGTAGCATTTTTATCGCTTGAATTTGCGGGCGTAAAGTAACACTTCAGGGCCTTAGGGCGATAAAGGAGTACGGCGGATGGTGAAGTAGGTGAAAGGGCGGTAAAGTCATCTCGATGTTTTTCCAGTAATTTATAGTAGACTATACCATTCGATCTTTCTCCGCCAGTGGGATGGAAACATGATTTGGCCAAATGAATTCAAAATCGTCAAAAACTTCCATATTGACATTGAATGATTATGTAGAACGTTCGTGCCAAAAATGTCGTATGTATTTCGGGAGTAATTCGCTTTTATGGACCTGGGCGTGTTACGTACATGCTGCGGTCAATAAAAGCCCACTTTATGCTTTTGATACATGATTTTCGATAATGTCAATGAAATGGCTACCAGGTCGAATATTATATTGTTCGGAGAAATCCATAAGAAACCAATATTAACTAACCTCTTCTTGTATATGGAAAGTATCTACCTAGCTAGATCTTAGTTCTAAATGACCTACAAGAATTGAAATTTATGTGTGTACAACCCACTCAGCCCCAGAATGAAAATAATGATCGTTTGTTATCAACTCATTAGTGAACAATAATGAAACATGATCGAAATCGCTTTCACCAATTTATTTCAATGAACAACACCTTATCTTCTTCGAAACATAACGAGTATAGGGAATAATGAACTAATAATCAATCACGAAATTCAATATCAAATATAATCAATACGGAGAAAGGAATTATAATTGATGTAAAGTTCAACCAAATGATGGAAGTGATGGTGTCAAGATTGTTAAGTTTGCCCAATTCGAATTGGGTCAATTAAAATGTCAGTGGTACTTATGATAGCTATTGACTTGTCTCACTTCTCCAATATGCATTTACCAACTATGATTGATATAAATATTCAAGATATTTCATTTGAGGAACAAATGTTATTTCTATTCTAAAGGTATCATTTATCTCTTAGTTCAACGGTTTCACTGATTGTTCGATTTGGCAGAAGTGAAAACACTACTCACAATTCAATTTTCATTGATGCTCAACATATACATATAGATAAACATCTAATATATAAAATTCTTCTGTCCCTGTCACGATGCGTTCTCGGTAGGTATCAGAATCGGTCGTTAGCAATTTTTCAAATTGGAAATTCTAGGTGGCGGATCAGTTTTCTGATCCGATTTTATTCGAGATTGGTACCTGGGGGTTTTCGGGGACAGAGATTATGTTTGTTTCCTCGAAAAATGGAAGTTCAAGATCACGAATCCAATATGGCGGACGCGTTTCGTAATTATGGTCTGATTCTATTCAAAATTGGTTTCTGAGGTTTTTGGAGTCGGAGATTGAGATTTCATCTTCAAATTGAGGAATTTGAAATGACGGATCCAATATGGCAGACGAGTTTTTGGAAATTTAACATAACGGATTCACTATAGCGGACGATTTTTTGTAATTACCCTTACAACACAAGTACGTCCCAGGGACGTCCTTCATTTTCTACGAGGACGTCCCTGGGATATCCTGTGTCGGGACATGGTAAATACTAGGGACGTTCCAGGGACATTTGCTGTCCACAAAAAGAGGCATCCTAGGGATGTCCTTCTGGTACGTCCCTGGGATGTACCAAGTACGAAGAAAGGATATCCCTAGGACGTCTTGAGGATATCCCAGGGACATCCCTTCGACAAAAGCAAAAAACAATGTGGGTCGAGTACGGATTGAACCCGGGACCTTTGGCTTATCAGGCACGCATCTCACTCCATTGGCTATTGAGCCTCCTGAAGATTTATGTACTAAACAGATTTATAAACAGGACTTAACTACAGAAACCTGAATGAATACAACTTTGTTAGGATTTGGGTATATCATTCTTGGGTGTTTAAAAATGAGGGGCATTATGCATGTACGATTTCTGTTTGCGAATAATGGTAATTTCTCAAGAAGTTCTGGAACTTTATTCTTCATTTTCATTACGATCATTTTCCGGAAGAAAAACAAACATTTTCAAGAAAATGCAACTTATTAATACTTTGATGAAATTCAATGACTCTGAAGTGAATGGATATCAGATATTCCAGGGATACAAATAGGATAACCCAGGGATGTACCGGGCGAGTTGTCCACTGGACAACCACTGCGCGACATCCCCTGGATGCCCCAATCATGTCCTTGTACCGCGGGACAAAAAAGGGACGTACCTAGGACATCCCTGTGTTGTTAGGGTATGATCAGGTTCCATTGAAAATTTGTATGTGGGGGTTTTTGGGGTCGGAGATTATGATTCTTTCGTCGGAATTTGGAAATTCATGATGACGGATCCAATATGGCAGACGAGTTTCGTAATTACTATCTGATTCATATTCCAAATTGGTATCTGATGGTAATCTTCGGGATCGGAGATTATGATAATTTCGTCAAAATTTTTCGTAATAATAATTCATAATCCGATATTGAGAACTACAATTGTAATTATGGTGAGATTCAATAATACAGAATTGGTTCATGGGAGGTGTTGGCGTCAGAGTTCATGATTTTTTCGCGAAATTATAGGAAATTCAT